GTTCATTTAACTCAAAACATTGTTGAATATTACAAGTTTTTCTTTATTAAGCAGCTTTTACTTATAATTTTAATTGATTTTAAGTTTTGAAAGTTACAGAAACATTCCTGATTGATTACTTATTACTGGGTATTTTATTTTCACAGTACAAATAAAAAATAACAAAATTAAGTAATTCTCACTTAAAATTACTAAAGCTACTTTTAAAAGCTACAAAATGATGTTAGTTTTACTTCAAAAGTTAAATAAACTTATCTGATTTTACAGTGAAAAACTTAAAGATTAACATTTTTGTAAAGAAGAAAAGTTAATTATACTCAGATTACTTAAATTTGCAACGTCACCCTGTTTGACAGCAGGAAGTCCGCCCGCAGCTAATGTTAGCACAACTGCAGCCAGTTGAACCATCTGCATAGGTGGAAGTTAAAGTCAGGCATTGATAAACGTTTAGCATTAATAATGTTTTATATTCTTCTCTTCTCTAAGTGACAGCAGTGTTTGAAAGAAGAATCTTTAGCCAGTTCTACAAACACAGAGAGAACTGCGCTAATGTATCAATAATAAGATATAACATGACGAGTACAGTGACATACAAACATATATATTCATAAAGAGCTTTATAAAGCCTTCCAAATGCATTATAGACATGAACTTCAGAGAAAGTGTTGATTCATGCACACAGGACTCCACAAACAAACCTTTAGCAGTACCGTATTGTACATGTACATATTACTGTACAATAACCAGTAAAAGTATACAGAGAAAACCATCTGTGCTGTACTCCAGCTGCAGCTCTGTGTGTGTGTGTGTGTGCTGCAGTGGCCAGCCATGAGGTGAAACATGCTAATGCAATGAGAGCTGCAGAACACACACACACACACACACACACACACACACACACACGGTGACCTTGAATGAAGCCACTCTAACCACTTTGTTTAAAGTGGTTATTTTTTCACTAGCAGAATAACTCTAGATTACATTGTCACTTTTAAATTACTCTGGCAGAACTTTCTCATTCAAAAGCTGCCCAAGGCCATCCTTTAAACAAAAGCCAAATTAGAAAGCTGACCTATTCCATTATGTACAAAGCTAGTTTATTTAATCAAGTTACTTACCCCGAGACTGGATGCCAGGCATCGTTTGACCTTTCTGACATCCTTTTTTAAATAGATTT